CTTAATCATGAACTGACTGTCACCGAGCTCAAATTCAAACAAATGCCGCCTCGTTAGGGCTTACCTGAAAGATATTTGTAATAGCATCCAGAATAACAAGGACAATTTTCGTATCTTTCACAGTTAAGAGGTTCATCAGTGGTTCTATTATGCCACAATGAACAAGGTACACAATCTGCTCCACTGTCCCACCGCTTGTGTAGTTGGTCACAGCCCACACGGCTTCCTTTTGGGTCTTAAAGTCCGCCTATTAAACATAAGAAAATGGTTTTCTTTCAGAATAGTCATACAAGAGAGATATAAAGGTACTAAATAAAACAAGCACTAAGCTACCAAATAGTTCTACCAACCTTGTAAACCAGCTCTTACACGGCAAAGGACTATGTTAGTGGATGACAATGTACACATTCCTTGCTAAGCCACCACCTGGCTAGCTGGGCACGGCGGCACAGCCCTGTAATCCTAGCACTGGGATGGCTGGGCAGGAGGACCACCTGAAGTCAAGGCCAGCCTGGGCTACAGTGAGTTAAGGAACACCCTGAACTACATATGAGAGAGGGCCCTATCTCAAAAAAAGAAGGAAAAAAAAGTAAAGACAAAAACCAACCAACTACAACAAATATTTTTTTAAAAACCCTACCTGTTTAATGACTGTTCACACAACCAAAGTGCACAGTTTGGATTTACATCCTTTTTTTAGGGGGGAGAGGGGTAACAGCTCTGTGCATCTTGTTATAGAGCCTCAACGTCTTTTTTGGTACTATATCTTTTTTATACAGCACTGTAATTAATACAAATAAAAGCAAACTCATCAAGCTAGAGCTTCCTTTGAACACTTCTCTACTCTGAATTTTGTAATGCATAGCTATATACAAATCCTCATTTAGTGATAATTATCTAATTAGTCAGTCTCTAACTTGGCTGAAGTGAGGAGTATCTGTATTTTAAAAATCTTAAGGGCCAGTGAGATAGCTCAGCGGACTAAATACCTGCTTAGGCAAGCCCAGGGATCAGGTTTGATCCCTGGCACAAGCCGCAACAAGACAGCCCCGCCCCTAGGTGCACTGAGGGGCCAGAGACTAGGCGTGGTGGTACATGCCTGTAATCCCAGCTTGGGCTACACAGTGAGTCCAAAAGCAGTCTG